GAAAATGGCAGTGCCACGTCCTTGAATTACATGTGACGAACCAATCATTGTTGTCACAGATGAATTATAGGCTACCAAGTTAACAAATAGTTGCCTATTTCGCAAAATGGTATGGGTAGTCCCACTATCTATTAAGCACTCAAGTTCACCTCGATTCATGCCTGTGTAATGAGAGAATTGCATATAGAACTGGAACACACAATGCATATAAAAATAGGGGCATAAATCCCTTAATTTATTTAAATTGAATGCAAATTTAAAACAATTCCACATAGTCTAAAAAACACAATAAATAGTCTTTAAAACACTCTTAGGAAATCGGCAGAAACATAAAAGAAATTTCCAAAACATCATGCATGGAGAGAATGAAGAAAGTCTAGCAAACAGATTTCATTCCATTGCACATTCAGTTCTGCGAGCGGAGTATCATGAATGTTCCCAAAGCGTCCCTTAAGGGACCCCACTGTTCTTCGGGGGTTTTCAACTGAAGATATTCCCAACATAAACTTGGGTCAATGTGTCGCCTTAAGAACATTAAAGCATTTGCTTTCACTTTTTTTCTGATGGTGCATCTTTCAATTCACTAGGGTCTTTAAGTGTGGCAGAGAAGCCTTTAGCCACGAAAGCCATTTCTACATCAGAAACCCATCGATGGTACTCAAGTCCTTCTGAGTCCAAGATGTCAAATTCAAGTCTAGTGGGACCAGTCATTTCTAGATAAAATGCAAATAAACAATCATAAGTAAATTCATATCTTGAAAATGAGAGTTTTTTATCATATAATTCATGCTCTCTCCTTTTTGTTATATATGAAATTTCTTAATCAAAACCAATATGTACTAGTCACAGAACTCAATTAGTTTTGAGTCTAAAATGGCATATTTGAGTTCAATTAGTCAATGTATGATATTACTTTTATGCAAAATGCAAGGCTAGCATCACTCCATAAATAAAATGTCCTCATTAAAATTTCAAGAACATACGAGGAATAAATTGATGTTTGAACAAGTATGAATTAAACATCAATATCAAAATGCGTATGATAAAAACTTATGCACATGTACGAAAGATGATAGATTTACGTTTATGCAAAAGTCATCAGAGAAGGAATTTGCACAATATCTTTCAAGAACTAATAGTTCTTTATTATTATTATTATTAGCCCAATGAAAAAAACATTTCCATTGAAAGTTTCAAAAAAAAAACTTTTTTTTTGAAACTGTTGTAGAGTTTTTTTTCTTTGGTTGGACTTTTTATAGAGTGTAATTTGACAGAATGCAATTGAAATGGTGGCCTTCAATATTACCGAAAAAAAATGCAAAAAAAAACAGCAAAGGTACTTTAAAAAAAACTGATGGTTGGGAGTGTCAACATGAGGGCAAGTTGCATGATTATACATGACAAAAAAAATGGGATCTCTGCCTAAATGAAAAGTTTAGTGACCAGCATAAGAACTATGAAATAGAAACACATGAAAGAAAATTTAAGATCAATATGAATCATGACCGAAGCGGGAAAAAGAATATACTCCGTATATGTGTAGTCCAGGAAACCAAAAGCCTATATATATATATATATATATATATATATATATATATATATATATATATATATATATATATATATATATATATATATATATATATATATATATATATATATATATATATATATATATATATA